TTCAGAATTATTAATCAACTTCCAGGGATAATTATTGTCATCCTACAACATAAGGGTATTTTCGTAATTTTACCCTATCGGAGTATTCTCATAATTTTCCATCCAAGTACCTTTAACATTTAACCTTTGATGATATAAAATATAAGTTACAAATCCAGGGCTGATTTCTTTATCATCAATCACAAACTTGTAATTTAATTCTAACAATTCATCAATCTCTTATATTAGTCATTCGATCCGTATTCAGTTACATAATTTCTACCACATTCATATCGAGTGTATAAATTATTCAAGTCCACAAGAGTGATCAACGTTATCTTATTCATGCATTTACCAATATCAACATGTTCCATAAAGCATAAAAAGGTAGTAAAGTATTACCTCGATTTCTGTACCATACAAATCAACCATATAAATTCCATTCGAACGCCTTTGATCTTTAATTCAACTTCCAATAATTCCTCAGATATATGTCAACATAAATTATATCAAAAACGGAGCTTAATTGCGATAAATGAATCGAATCGGGTGATAAATCAATGAAAAACAACTTATCGGGTTCGAATATGGTGAAACTGACTTCGGATTCGGATTCAAGACGTCGAAAGCATAAAATATGACTTTTCAAAATTTTGAAATTTTCGGTCAAAATCAAAGTCAACGGGTTTGACTGCTAATTTCGAGGCCTTCTGGTCCGAATTTTGAAAAACGGACTGCGGAATAGGATTTGGAATGTCGAAAAATGTCAGGATATGTATACTCGGTCAAAGTCAAAGGTCGTTTAATGCCCGGTCAAAGCTCGTCAAAGTTTTGGTCAACACCGGTCAATAGTCAACGGTCAACGGGTCGGGTCGGGTCGGGTCGGGTTGGGTCGGGTAAACGTGTCCGGTTAGAACCGGTCGAACCGGTCAAACCAGTCATTTTTTCTTCCCCACGCGCAGTGGGGGCGCGTGAATAGTGCTATGGTTTCGAAAAATTCCTAAAAATTATTTTAAGCGATTTCAAGGCACTTACAAAGCTCGATTCACAATTTTGAACGGTGGAGTGCTCGATTTCAACGAATTTAATACTTTGACCGGTTCACCTCCTCATGCGCCGCCGCCGACGGAGACCAAGGATGACACTTGCAGACTCGGAACGATGCAAGGAACACGATGGTGCGGGAGGTGTCGTAAACGGATGCTCGGATCGTCGTGAATCGACGAAAAACCAATTGAAATCAAGTTATTACCGATGATACTTTCGACTGAAATTAACGACGAACGGCGACGATTCACGACGAAAGGTTTGAGGGGTTTTGTTCCTCGGTTGACAACGAACACGATGGTGGTTTCGGAAGGTCGATCGGAAGTCGGACGGTGAGTAGATAAGAGTTGAAAGAAAGGTTGAGGGGAAGGGGGAAACTAATGTTTTTTTTGCAGAAAAACATACGAGAATGGGTGTTATAATTCATCCCAAAAGAAAAATGGTCAAATCATGAGTTTAGCCACTGAATTTCTTGCACTTCTTAAAACGGTCTGCCAACTTTGAAATTTTATAATTTAATCCACTATTTCTTTCAAAAATACCAATTAAATCCACCACTTTATAATTTCTTAAATTGAGCCCCTAAATTGGGGTGTTACAATTCTGCCCTCCTTAAAAGAATTTCGTCCTCGAAATTCATTCATGTCACATTATTACAGAAATGAAATTTCTATCAGATCTTTCGTGTAGCTCTTTTAGAAATACGGATCCTCCACTAATCCTTAACCAGTTGAGCATACCTTCTTATCAGAACTTTTCCTTATTTCAATAAAAGAATCCGAGAAAATTTCCTTAAGTAATCAATTCAATCTTTGTCATGAGAATAGGCTCATAGAGCAGTAGAATAACCCAATTTCATTTTTGGTGTCGGGTCAAAATTTCTCAGATGAATAACTCTCACATGGCTCGTGAGGTACTTTATAGCGTTTAGGCAGATGTTATTGGTACTCATTTTTGTACAAGTATAGCCTTAACGGATAAAAACTTTGGTTTACTTGTTACAGATAGGGACTCAACCTTGGAGTTCCGGTTCAAAGAGATACGATTGTAGTATAGAGGCATGTACTGATCAGACATCTTTTGACATTCGACCGGCCAGTCTAACTTGAAAATTTTGACTCAAACCATAACTCTGATACCACTAAATGTAACCCCCCAGACCGATACGGGTAACCTGATCCGATCTGAATTTGACTGCTAATTTTGAGGCCTTCGGGTTTGAATTTCAAAAAAAAGACTGCAGAATCTGATTTGGAACGTCGAAAATGTCAGGATAGGTATACTCGGTCAAAGTCAAAGGTCATTTAATGCCCAGTCAAAGTCCGTCAAAGTTTTGGTCAACACCGGTCAACGGGTCAACGGGTTGGGTCGGGTCAACGGGTCGGGTCGGGTTGGAACCGGTCATTTTTTCTTCCCCACGCGCAGTGGCGGCGCGTGAGGGCGCGTGAACAGTGCTATGGTGTCAAAAAATTCCCGGAAAATTCCTAAAAATTATTTAAGCGATTTCAAGGCACTTACAAAGCTCGGTTCACAATTTTGAACAGTGGAGTGCTCGATTTCAACGAATCGAAAACTTTGACCGCTTCACCTCCTCATGCGCCGACGTCGACGGAGACCAAGGATGACACCAGCAGACTCGGAACGATGCAAGGAACACGATGGTGCGGGAGGTGTCATAAACGGATGCTCGGATCGACGTGAATCGACGAAAAACCAATTGAAATCAAGTTATTACAGACGATACTTCCGACTGAAATTAACGACGAACGGCGACAATTCACGATGAAAGGTTTGAGGGGTTTTGTTCCTCGGTTGACAACGAACACAATGGTGGTTTCAGCTCGTCGATCGGAAGTCGGACGGCGAGTATATTGGAGTTGAAAGAATGGTTGAGGGAAGGAGAAAACTGATGTTTTTCTGCAGAAAAATATACGAGAATGGGTGTTATAATTCATCCCAAAAAAATTGTCAAATTATGAGTTTAGCCACTGAATTTCTTGCACTTCTTAAAACGGTCTATAAACTTTGAAATTTTACAATTTAATCCATCGTTTCTTTCAAAAATACCAATTAAATCCACCACTTTATAATTTCTTAAATTGAACCCCTAAATTGGGGTGTTACAAATATGACGAAAACGACATCTATAGTTTAGGCTAAAAGAGATGTTGAGAGTTTTTTTAAAGTGAAAAAAAGAATGAAACAAAACTTCAGAGTTAAAAAGAGTTTTTTTAAGAAATACTAAATTGATATTTTGTATAAAATTTATGGGTCGAACTTAGAAATTAATCATTTTTGTTTGTGTTATCTCATCAATGTAACGATAGTTGATGCCTCTATGACTAAATTGTTATTAATCAATAACAAAAGTGATCAAATCAAAACAATTAAAAATCGGGTGACCAAAATGAAAAGAGACAGAAACAAATGCAACATATACTATACTTTTCCCAATTTGAAGCCACATAAACACTCTAGTCGCCATCTATAGTTTTCAATTTCTCATCTATTATAGTTTATCTAACAAGATGATATTAATTTATCAATGAGTTAGATTTCAATGTTGTACCATAAAATATCGTACTTCTATGTATCCATGTCCAAGTCAACGAGAATCCCGAATGCATTCAAATAAAACTTTACATTTCTTTAATTCAAATATTAGATTCGTATATACCTATTTTTTAAGAGTTTAATTTAAGTGTGCCCGTACCCATATCATGTCTGGACATACATCAAATATGAATATTTTCAAGAATCTTGTAAGCATGTGTAAGATATAAATAAACAGTTATCATTCGTATAACATTTGTTTATGTTCATTTGTTAAATTAAATAAACAAGTACAAACAAAATTTTTATGTTTATTTAATAAATGAACGAACACGAACAAAAATATATTCAATTCGTTTATATTCACAAATAATCTCATTTATTAACTCGTTCAATTATATCCACGAACAAACTTGTTTATAAACTCATTTAAAATCTTATTTATTTTTTATAGGGGCTAAATTGAACATATAATAAAATTTGAAGTTTAAACTACATAGCTTAAGAAATTTGAGCACTTGTGTAATTTTATCATTAGCTTGCAAATGAACATTGATATGTTTACAAACATATAAACAAACGTTAAACAAATATGATTGTAAACATATATACAATAGAACGCGGACACTTTTAAAAATAAATAAACGAACACGATATTAAAAATATAAACAAACATAAACACAAATTTTTTTATTAATCTAGGATTAACACAATGTAATATCTATTTAATGATAACTTTCAATCATAAACGCTCACACCATCAAGAAATAACAATAATCTTATTCGTTCAAACTCAGTTCATTTACACCCATAAGTAGGGGTGTGCAAAATTACCCGACCCGGTTGACCCGCTACATTGACCCGACAACCCAGATCTAAAAAAAGGGTAATTCTCTAAAAAAATACTCGGTCGAGTCGGGTACCAGGCCCGACATTTCCTGGGTCGGGCCCAAGTCACAAAATCTAGTTTTTCCGGGTAGTACCCGGTTAGTTTTTATTTTTTATATATAATTATATAAAATATAATGAATTATTTATATTATGGATTATTAGATTTTATATTTCAAACTTTTAAATTTTATGTTCGGATATTAGAGTATGTAATTCGAAGTTTCGAACATTTAAATTTGTGTATATTTTTTTTAAATTAATATTTTGAAAAAAAAAATAAAAAAACATGGTACCCGATTACCGGGTACCCGTAAAATCCGGGTACCCGATTACCGGGTACCCGTAACATCCGGGTCGGGACACGGGCCGAGAAATCGTCGACCCGGAAGTTCCGGGTACCCGGATTTGCGCACCCCTACCCTAAGCATGTGTGAGGAGAGAAGAAAATATTGTAAAACAACCTTCCAACTCATCATGTAATTTCATGAAACCTTTCAACATTTAAATGATAACAATAAGAAACTACTGTATCAAATGAACTATTGAATTCATTGTACATTTTAAATTACTAGAACAAATTTTCATCACTGTTCCAATGGCTGAAAAAATTAATTGACTGAACAGCCAAAAGGATGAATTCTTCAATTTTAAGAAAAATATAAGAATGATTGCATGGCAGCACATTTTCTAGGGAAAATAATATAAAAAGGAAGCAATGAATTAGCTGAGTGATGCCCAGTCAGGATATGGGCATTCATAATCCCAATCTGGGCCCGTGTACCTTACACAGTGTAGCCATAATCCTTCCTCATGCCCATCATACCTGCCATAAACACAATAATGATCATAGATGGTTGAAACTGCAGAGATGTGAGATTCTTGTACTTGCACACAATAATGAAAGTATCAGACATTTATATTTGACACATAGTCTCAGACATGATTACAAATACGATCCTACAAATACATCGGTTCGCTCATCTCGGGCATATATCTATATCAATAGTCCTGTCTCTTGTATCTAAATGTGCGTGAGTTTAGATCTGGATCTTTTAAAGAAAAACAAGAATGATAGTTTTGGCAAACCACCTTGAGATTGAGGCGGACCAAACTTGACATGTCAAGTCATACACTAACCTCTTCTATTGAAACGAAGAATCTTCTACATTGCAATGTAACAGCAAGAAACAGCCTAATAAAGAAGATTTGAATGAAAGAAAACACATTCACTAACTTAATCCACCAGCTTACTTTTCTCCTACATTAATACCTACTTAGAAGATACAAACCTATAGATGTCGGACTACGAAATGTGTTGAGGTCCTGAGGATGTGACCTTACATCTTTCTCTATTTCTAGCTCTCATTTTCTTTTTCCTTCCTTTTGTAACTAGCTGGAAAAAATGTATGATAATGGATGCAAAAATTAGTACCGTATCTTATTTCTAAATATATGCAATTAGTAAGGAGATCCCTAGCATGCAAAATCTTCATGGGATAGAAAGAAGTGGTCAGAAGACATCAAAGCAAAACAAATTAAAGCATGTACAAGTGTCAAATTTGATTATTAAATCAATTTGAATAAAATAAATCATGAATGACTAGTAATTTTTATAGTTATTGCTGTCTAAAGTATGAATCTCAGCTCACAACAAGCAATATGGGAATAGGTAGCATCAGGAATGACCACCTTATTAATTAAACCTCCAATATAAAAGGTAAAGAAAGAAAATCAAGGTTTATGCTTTTTCTAATGTGGAACAAATTGATATACGTTTAATAACTAATAAATGGAGCATAGTTCATCACTCATATTACACCTGATAATAGTAAACTGTTTGAAGTGGCTGAAGATTCTTTTTAAAAAAAACATTAACTTTCTATATTCAGAAATATAATTGACAATATAATTTACAATTATCAAATATCAAGTAATTGCAAGAATAAATAATTTCCAATGTTGAATTTTCCACACATGGTAATGAATATCTGGACAATAATAATCAAAAGGAATACAGAATTCTCAGTATTTACACTTGGTACTTCACATGATGAGTAGCACAGAATTTTTTACGTAGTCATTTGTCCTATGATGTTATCATGACATGACCAAGTATCAAGAAGTTAAATGTCACAATTTTTGTAAGCAGTTTGTCAAAATAACTATTGAAAAACTGCAATACAAGATACAACTAATTAACCAGGGCATTATTGAGAAGCATAGCCGCAACTGAAATGAGAGAACCGAACGATTATATTGAACATACGTAATCACAAGTGTCTTACCCGTTTGGAGCTAAATTAGGACAGTGTGTACACATGGGATCAATGCTGAAATCTTCACCGCAGTACTTGTATTCTTCATTATGATTCTCACAATTGGCTTCAGGAGGGCTGTCAGAAAGAGCTGCAGCTCTATCAGCAGTTGTTCCTAAAGTAGAGCGATCAATAACATTGCATGAAAGGTAAAGCATGTCGTTGGCTATTGGATGGCCTGTACACTGCAAATGCACACGAATCTACAAATGGGAAAAATTAGTCAGAAAAATATGCAGTTATTGAAAATGAAAAAATGCAAAACTATTTATAAAAAGATGCAGGAATCTAGTAATGTCACTAACAAATGGAAAAATATGTATTACTTACTCAGAAAAAGACATAAATCAAAACTAAGTTCACTAGAGAAGTGTCAAATTCAAGCAATTTTCTAAATTGACAAAAACATAAATGTAAGAGCCCTTCTAAGATATGAAGCTGTAGAAAACAGTTTAAACTTTAAAAGCCAATTGAGAATGCCAAAGTGCTGAAATAGAAAATATCAGCATATAACATAATTTTAAAAGTGACCCAGTGTACTGATAAATATCCAAAAGCATCACCTGTCCACTAAAACAACTACAAACATCTCGTTCACTGGTATTAACAGAATTATTTTCTGTGTGTTATCTTACTTGATGTGTTCGGCCAGTAATTGGTTCACACAAAACAATGCTATGTGTCCCATTGGTGCTAATCCTAGTAAACTTTGTACAGGCAGCCTTTCCCTTCAAGGTAGTTTCACCATTAGAGATGCCAACCTGCATGAAACAGATCTATGATTTAGTACAGCCGCGAACCACTTTCTTTTAATTCGATAACTCTCTCATCAGATCATAAATTAATGGATAAGAAACATCCCCAGAATCCTTGTGAAACTTTCAACCTTAGAGAAGGAGAAGTCCCTACATGATTAGCAGTTCAAAGATTTATTGATCACCTACAGCCATATTGAGTCATTCAAAGCAAATGACTAGTAACAAAGCCTAGAGATTTAATTTGCTTAACAGTAACGAGAAACAACACTATGATAGAATTGAACAGAATGTTAAACAAATAAATTAATGGCACTACTACTGTGTCATTTAAAAAAATCACTAAAAGGGTAGTATTTGGTTTTGAACATGTAACAAACACCAAACATTTTGCATATTCTGGGCCATGAATATGTCTAACATACAAATCACCCCTAAAGAGAGAAAGTAGTGGGGTACAATGTATAAGCTTGCAGTAAATATACAAGTGGACATCCATAACAAAATCGGTCTTGTTTTCCTTTGTATCTTTCTTGCACATGGTTTACATCAACTACAATGATAAAAGTGGAAAAGAAACACACAATTATAATACCATTAGTACGTGTAGAAGAACCACACTTACCTCTGCAGTGCTCCTTCCTTCTCTAGCATTGTAATCTACATTGGCATCAACAACTTGCTGAAAAAGAAAATCTTTACAAAAGTCAAATGGGGAGTGCATCATGAGAGGACTTTTCAGAAGTGTTTAACTAATGATAATTAATTCATTGTCATACTAGATCTCACTAAAACATCAATAACTAATTGAATGAAGAATATTTTGGCTTCAACTAAAGTGACTTTTCAGATTACTAGCAGCCTACAAGATTGTAAAAAAGTCAAGTTAATTGTTGCAAGATTCGGATAAAAAGCTTCTGAATATGGTTAACTTAATATAGCAAGCTAACACAACTTCACTAAAAGAAAAAAAAGAAAAAAAAAAATTCTTGGGAGGGGGTAGAAGAACATCAAGAATAATATATTGCAGATGGCAGAAGGTGAAAAGACAAGTTCCATTCCTTCTCATTACTTTGAACAAGCACAATTGTTTGAAACTAGAAAAGAAAGAAAATCAGAAGCTACTTAAGCAAAAACACTGAAATTATATATCCTCATACAAAAATATTTACAATATCAAGCAATTCCTCGTCACTTATTGCTATGTAAAGAAACCAAAGAAAACGAAAAGGTCAAACTTGAATAGAAAATTTTCCTGTTTAGCCAAAAATATAAAAAAGCTTCTAGAGTATTTATGCACTTGATAAAAATTGAACAAGCAGAACGATTCAAATTTGGACACAAATTACATGAACGTATACCTCACCCTCTGGAAACACTCCGACAACCTTTGCAATATACTGTTTCTGAAGCAGTCCAGCTTCGATCTGGAATCATCCCATTCAGATTAAATGAAAAGTCTCATTATGTAAGAAGTCTCAAATTTCCAGATCAAGCATATTGATAAAGCAATGGATTTTTATCTTTGATGAACAGAGCAGCTAGTGTCCTAGATATCATTCTACCAAATCATGCAATACTGCACATGTAGCCATGTTGTTAAAACAATTTTAGATAAGCATATCAAATGGAAAAGGATGCAATTGACAGTTGTTTGTGATTCTAGATTTTTTTTTTTTTTTGATAGGAGTGATTCTAGATTATCAACACAGTAGTAACAAGTTTTGTGCCAAAAAAAATGTTTGCCTACACATACAAATAAATAAATGTATACATAAATTCGCAAAAGACTTGCATGTTGTCTAAAAATGTCAGCTTTAGCTGGATTTTTGGCCATGATAAGCAATCCTGAGACCAGACGATCTAGTCGATGAATGGCTGGGATGATAATGTCAAGGAAAAAGTAGAAAACTCCGCTTTCACAACTTTACCGAAAAGAAACAGAAAAAAAGATTAATTTGCATACACAAAAAATAAAAGTAGCCTAAATGTAAACTGAAATATAAGCGCCATGTGGAGTTAGATCTGGATACGATACAAAGGAGCCAACCCATGCTCTGCTTGGAGAATACCCAGAACTGTGTTTTTACGATATTGACCACATGGATGTACCTACAAAAATATTGCAAAATTAATTTAAAATTAAAAAAAGGCAGAGTAGCTGATATCATATGGTAAGAAGGAAGAAAAGTTCCTCCTCCCCTCATCTAAGCAATAAGCACATTCATACGGACTAATACAGTTGAAATAGGTACACTTCGCAAAAGACTTACAGGAACAGATGCAGGTTTGCAAACTGTCAGTACATCAGGTTCATTTTGAAGAATATCCACATCCCAAGCCATCACCGGCGGTTCATGTCTACAACCTTTGTAGAATCAATTACAAGTTTCACAACTTCAAAATGAAACAATGAAGCACCAAAAAGGGGGGAAAAGCCATAATTTAAACAGAGCATACAAAAACCATAGAGAAGTCAAAAGAAACTAGAAAATATTAAGGTTTTCCAACAATGCATGTATTAACAAAACACATCGCTACCTTGCAATATTATTCAACCCACCCACCCCCAATAAGAGGCTTTAAAATTCAGTGAAACTCAATAAGATCAGGTATTGAATGCGATATGTGATGAACCTGTGTAAGAAGTGGCTAATCTTCTGGCATCTCTTAACTATGTAAGATACAGGTACATTCTCTCCATCCACTTGTATCCGTCCACATTTGACAGCACTCTCCTATGATAATTATTTCCGAAATAACAGAAAAGGTACACATGTAAACCTATGCAATTATGGGTAAATGAAGAAATTGCGAGAAATCCACCCAATAAAGGTCTTTGCTTGAAACTTGCAATACATTCCAATTAATTAATACAAACTAACCAACATTATGTAACCTATCATATGACCAACACTGTGTTGGTTAAGAGAAAAATAAGAAAAAGAAAAGAAAATAGATCTGCACATTTCCCTTCCATCCAAATAAATCCTTTCGAATATGAAATGAAAACATCCATGTAACTTAAAAGGAAAGAGTGATTACATAGTAATCTCTAGATCGGCCTCTGAACTCTTGAGCAAACAAATCCAAAATTGTTTTACCGTCCCATCGTTTATTAACCTGAACAAAAAATACAATCAATAACGTGTTTTTTTATTAGATAAGCAAAACTAGGGTTTAAAAGATTTTCCACCACATAAAACCAGAGGGGGAAAAAGAAATAGAGCGAAGAGAGAAACTAACATGAGAGACAAACTCAAAATAGTACGGTCGTACATGGCGCTTCCCTGTCAAATTCCCTCCAAAAGAAAAACAAAACTTGAGCTCCTGTATTTTCGGTTAATATAATTTAGAAGTAACTATTTTTTGTACAATTTACCGTTGTGAAATATATAATCTTGCTTCTGAGAAGGATGAGCAGGAGTTTGCCAAACAATCTCCATTTTCCTTTTGTTTTTCTCTTCCTTCCCTTCTCCAACTGTTTCGTCTCTGTTTCTTTTCATATGTATTTTCTTCTTCTTATTATTATTATTATTATTATTATTTGAATTATCTACGCCCAAGAAGTAGACAAAACTTGAGGTAACTCGACTTCCAAAACGTCGACGTACTAAAATAATGAAGACAATGACCCCCTACCACTTTTGCAATAAAAAACATATATGAAACGATTTCATTTTAGGTTAGTTTAACCTTGTTTTCAATCGAATTCAATGGTTAAAATAATTATTTTTATTTTTTAGATTTTGAACCGTATGTCAGGGCTATGAGTATTTAATGTCAAATAGTTAAGAGTTATATTTAAACAGAAATTACTTTGTACTTATTCTGATTAATAAAAAAAATTATTTAATTTAAATTTCGTATATTTAATATTTTTGTTAAAAATAATTTTAAAAGCATAAAATATAATTCAAATATATTTTTAAAAAATATTAATGAATTAAAAAATTACCCAACATGATGGTTTTTTCTCTTTACCCAATGTAACAACCCGGAAATTTGAAAATAATAATAATAATAATTAATTGAATTGGGAGGAGTTAATTAAGTAAATTGGTGAAATTTTGGGACTAAATTGAAAGTTTTTAAAAACTTGTAACTTATTTTAGAGTTAAAAAAAATTCAGGGACCAAGCCCTAAATTTACCCTAAAATGGTAGGTAAGTTTGGTGTTATATACGTGAATTGGTTTCTGAAAATCAGAAATCAATTCCTCCCAAATTCCCTCCCCAACACCATCTTCCAACCACGATCCCGACACCGTTCGAATTCCGATCGTTGTTTTGAAACCACCATCGTGTTCATCATCGAGCGAGGAACAAACCCTTAAATTAATTGAAGCGAAACGCTATCAAACGCCAGGAATTTCCAGTCAAAGTCTCGACGTTTTTTTTTTTGCATAATTGCCGAGAAAATCTTAAATTCACCGCCGATCGTTGATCCGTTTACGACACCTCCCGCACCATCGTGTTCCTTGTGCTATTCCGAGTCCGCCGATGTCATCCTTGGTCTCCGTTAACGGCGGCGTGTGGGGAGGTGAGACGGTCAAAGTTTCCAATTTGTTGAAATCGAGCTCTCCGCCGTTCAAAAATTTGAACAAATTTTTTGTAAGTATCTTGAAATCGCTCAAAATAATTTTTAGAAACATTTGCGTGAATTTTACGCTGCTGTAAGACGTCCCACGCGACCCCACTACGCGTGGGGAAGGTTAAAATGACCGGTTTGGCCGGTTTTGAACCGGTTTGACCGGTTACAACCCAACTCGTTGACCCGATCCGACCAGTTGACCGGGTTCTATTTTAGTAATTAATTCGAAATAGATGTTATTTTAGTAATTAATTCGAAATAAGTACTATTTTAGTAATTAATTCGAAATAAGTACTATTTTAGTAATTAATTTGAAATCGGTGCTATTTTAGTAAATAATTCAAAATGAGTGCTATTTTAGTATTTATTTTTAAAAGGGTGTTATTTCTGTAAAATGGTTGACGTTGACCTCTTTTGACCAAAACTTTGACCGACTTTGACCAGCTATTAAACGACCGTTAATATTTTTTGAATATACATATCCTAATAGTTTTTGACGTATCGAATCTGTTTTTGCGGTCTGTTTTGCCAAATTCGAACCCGAAAGTCTCCAAATTCTCAGTCAAACCCGTTGACTTTGATTTTGACCAAGAATTCAAAATTTCGGAAGGTCATTCTTTATCTTTTTCAACGTCCTGAATTTGATTCCGAAGTCCGTTTTGCCAAATTCTGACCCGAAATCTCTGAATTGAGCATGTGAACCCAAATAGGCTTAGTATTTTAGTATTTTGATTATTTATTTGAGATATGGTTAAGGAATTGATTAAGTAAAATATTTTATGAAGGTACTCGTGTTTCACCTGAGCGACGATCAGTCAGGTCAGGTGTTGTCCGTTCATCATATCAGTCCGAACCGCGTAATACAAGAATTACTCGTAGATTTTCGTATATGATTTAAATAAAGATTAAGATTATTTATATTAGGATTCCAATATGGATTTTTCCGATTCGTAGGATCTAGCGCTGCAGCAGAGCGTGATCGACAAACCCAGTAATAGGCTTCCCTATTTGATTTCTCATATTGTTACAGGTGTGTTTACTGACGGTGTTATCTTAATGTTTTAAACTATCATATGAATGGTTTCAAATTTATGATGATGTTGTATATTATTACAACATGATACATGTTTTATGAATACTGGTTACCGACACCTGATTTATCGGATATTACTGATCTGATGTATGGTTTTCTGTAATTTCTGCATATCATTTTTAAGCATGAACCATTTTCATGTTTTAATGGATTAATATTTATTTCACCTAAATACATACATGTTTATTTCTGTCACTGGTATATTATTGAAGGAAGTATTTCAGGCTCCTTTACTGTGTGCTCAGGGTAAGTCCTTACTAGTGTGCAGGTGGGTGTATGGTTCTGGGGAACCTACACATTGTAGTGACTGGATGGGAAAGTTATTACTGCAGGCTCCTTTGATGTGTGCTCAGGGTAAGTCCTTACTGGTGTGCAGGTGGGTGTATGGTTCTGGGGAACCTACACATTGTAGTGATGGAAGTGACTGGACGGAGACGTTATTACTGCAGGCTCCTCGGTTTCATGCTTAGTGTAAGTCCTTACTGGTGTGTAGGTGGGTGTATGTTTCGGGAAATATATAAAAGATAGAAACCGGAGTGATTGAATGAAAATAATGTTCATATTTTAAAATATGTTTGATAACTGCTTTTATTGGAATATTTTATTCGTATGTTTTTATACACTGTTTGGAGCACACTGGGCTTTTTAACTAATTCTATAGTTTTTTAACTTTTTTAGATAATAGCAGACCGTAAGCTAGCAGATTTGGCATCATGGGAGATAACTACTTATTTTGTACGAACGTATATCTCTATATGTTTTTCAGTTTGTGTTTGGTGACATGTATTTGCTATCGTTTTGAATATATTTGTATTATTTATATTTTGTTCTGTATTATATCTAATGTATTAAAATTTGTTTAAAAAAAACTCTGAATGGGATATGTGACCACTTAGATTTGGTTCTAACTTATAGACTGGGTCTGGAGGGTTATATTTGGTAGTATCAGAGCTTTCGGTTTTAAACACTCGGACTGTATATGGGTCCTAAGCTTTGGATTTTTAAGAAATTTTGAAAAATAATGTCACCTTATTTTATGATTTAAAGTTTTCCCGAGATCCCTGATGCTAATCTGACATATGTTTTGAATTCTTTCTGTAGAGCCTTATAGATCCAACAATGAGTGCTGCTAAAGGTCGTAGAACAGGATGTGGCCGTGGTCGAGGACGAGTCACTCGACCTTCTGTTACGATAGATGATCCGATGTCTCCACGTGATCCTCCTGTTCTGCAAGTAGATCCTACCCTTTCTCATGATGATCAGTTTACTCCTATGAGATATCCTCCCGTCAGTAGAGATGATGATACTGACATAAATGAAGATGCCCTTAATAGAGCTATATTCTGCATGTTTCAGAGAGCTGCAAGAGCCCCTAATAATATGACTGCAGTTGAGATTTCAAACTCTTTGGTCGCTGCTGGTATAGTCCCATTCGAGGGTATTACTGGTGGACCCCCGACAGACGCTGAGTATTGGCTAGAGGATACAGAGAGGATTATGGATGAGATGGACCTCAGACCTGAACAGAAGTTGAAGGGGGCCCTAACTATGTTGAAGAAAGAGAGCTTCAGATGGTGGCAATCAATTTCTGGTAGTATTCCGAGAAACCAGTTAACATGGGATCTTTTCAAGACGCGCTTCCGGAGTCACTACATCGGAGAGAGATACCTGCAGGAGCTACGTCAGGAGTTTCAGAATCTGGAGCAAGGTAGCATGTCTGTTATGGATTATGAGGTTGAGTTCATCCGTTTAAGCAGCTATGCTCCTGGACTTGTGGACACTGATGCTTGAGGTTCAAGAATGGACTCAGGTATGAGATCAGAAGTCGAGTCGCTACCCACCGAGAGAAGAATTTTGATGCATTGGTTGAGATAGCCAAGACTGCTGAAGAAATAGAACGATTAGGTATGGAGCACAAGAAAGATAGTGATCGAGCTCAAACCCGATTCAGAAGGCCTTTCGGTTCTGTTGATTCTTCAGCACACCCCAGCAAGAGAGGCAGGGGTACGTCTTTACAGAGAAGTGGGGCGAGTGTCAGGCCTGTGACATCTGGTTCTTCAGTTGTACATTCTTCTAGACATGGTGATTCTTCTGGGTGGAAATCTTTGCAGTTATGTGATTATTGTGGAAGATGTCATCCTGGAGAATGCTAGAAGAAATTGGGTACCTGTTTTAGATGTGGTTCTTGTGACCATTTCATGAAGGATTGTCCAAGGCCAGTTACTACAATTCAGATGCCAGCTCGTACTCCCGCACGTACTCAAAGTACTGTTCAGACTCTAGTAGTGAGTCATAATCAGAGCAGAGTACCAGGATCTGCTAGTAGAGGCCGAGCATCTCAGAGTAAGGGTCCAGCCAGATCTGAGGCCGGACAGCCTGCATTGGTTTACACTGCCAGACTTCGACAGGATCGCAATGGGCCTAAAGTGACTGCATGTACTGTTACTATTCATTCAGTTCCCTACTTTGCATTGTTTGATAGTGGTTCTACCAATTCCTATGTATCACATTCCGTTTCTGAGGGTCTAAATATTCCTGTGGAGAATACTGAGCATTCAGTGATAGTTCAAAGTCCCTTAGGCAAGTCCATAATGTTGAATCGTATTTTTAGAGAATGTCCTATAGAGATCAATGGAGAGATTTTTCTGGCCGACTTGATGGAGTTACCTTTAGAAGAATTTAATTTGATTCTCGGCGTAGATTGGTTGGACAAACATCGAGTAAATATTGATTTTGAGACCAAGAGATCTGAAGACCCCAGATAATCGAAAGATTGTAATGATCGGGGAACGCCGTGGATTTCTGACGAATATTGTATCTGCTTTTGTAGCTGAGAAGATGATCAGGAAAGGTTCCGAGGCGTTTCTTGCTTATATATTGGATACCAGGAGTTCTCAATTTGATATTGAAGGCATCCGGATTGTTAAGGAATTTCCTGATGTTTTTCCCGAGGAGTTGCCTGGATTACCACCGGATAGAGAGGTTGAGTTTGAAATTGAAGTCTATTCGGGTTCCACTCCAGTTTCAATGGCTCCTTATCGTATGGCCCCAAAAGAGCTTAAGGAACTGAAAATCCAACTTCAGGAGTTGTTGGACAAGGGATTTATCCGACCCAGTATATCACCGTTGGGAGCCCCAATTCTCTTTGTCAAGAAGAAAGATGGGTCATTGAGACTTTGTATTGATTATAAGAAGCTGAACAAGCTCACGGTTAAAAACAAATATCCTCTGCCCAGGATCGATGATCTATTTGACCAATTTCGAGGGGCTTCTATCTTTTCAAAAATAGACTTGAGGTCTAGGTATTATCAACTCAAAGTGAAAGATTCGGATATTCTGAAGACTATTTTTCGAACTCGGTATGGGCATTATGAGTTTTTAGTGATGTCGTTCCGGTTAACAAATGCCCCTGCTACTTTTATGGATCTGATGCATAGGGTGTTTCGACCTTATTTGGACCAGTTTGTAGTTGTGTTCATTGATGACATACTGGTGTATTCTAGAAGTGAAATAGAATATGAGGAGCATTTAAGGATTGTTCTACAGACTTTAAGGGAGAATAAGTTATACGCTAAGTTGAGCAAGTGTGAGTTTTGGTTCAACGAAGTGACTTTTCTTGGACATATCGTTTCTAGTGACGGTATTCGGGTGGATCCAAGCAAAGTGGAGGCTATTCTGAACTAGAAGCAACCCGTGAATGTTTCTGAGATCCGTAGTTTCTTGGGCTTAGCTGGTTACTACCGTCGGTTCGTTGAGGGGTTATCCCTTATTGCAGCTCATCTGACAAAACTATTGAGGAAAGATGTTCCATTTGTCTGGTCTGAGAACCAGCAATCTAGCTTTGAGAAATTGAAGACTGTTCTAACCCAAGCCCCAGTACTGATTCATCCTGAATCTGAGAAAGATTTTTCTGTCTACAGTGATGCTTCTCACTCTGGATTGGGATGTGTTTTGATGCAAGATTTGAAGGTCGTCGCTTATGCTTCGCGTCAGTTAAAGCCGCATGAGCGTAACTATCCTATTCACGATCTGGAGTTAGCTGTCGTGGTTTTTGCTTTAAAGATATGGGAACACTACCTATACAGAGAAAAGTGTTATATATATACTGATCATAAGAGTATGAAGTATCTGCTTACTCACAAAGAATTAAATTTGAGACAGCGTCGCTGGTTGGATCTTCTAAAGGACTATGATTTAGAGATAAAATATCATCCAGGAAAAGCTAATGTAGTGGCAGACGCCTTGAGCCGTAAGACGATATCATATCTCAGAGCCTTATTCGCTAACTTGAGTTTATTTGATGATAACAGTCTGTTAGTAGAGTTGCAGGTTAAACCCACTTTGGTCAAGGAGATTAAGGCCAAACAACTTCTGGATAGCTCATTGTTTTCCATTATTGAACAAGTTAAGCAGGGAACAGGTTCAGAGTATACTGTAAATCAGGATGGTATTTTGTGTTTTCATGGTCGTTATTGCGTACCTAAAGATGATGAGTTGAGACGGCTTATTCTTCAGGAGGCTCATAGTAGTCCTTATGCTATGCATCCTGGCGGGGATAAAATGTACAATAATCTCAAGAAGCATTACTTTTGGACTGGTATGAAAAAGAATATTTTAGATTTTGTGACGAGGTGTTTGACTTGTCAGTAGGTTAAGGCAGAACACCAGCATCCAAATGGATTGTTACAGTCAATTAAGATTCTTGAAGGGAAATGGGAGCGCATTACGATGGACTTCGTTACTAGTCTTCCCCTAACTCCTTCCAAAAAGGATTCTATTTGGGTGATTGTTGATCGACTCACCAAGTCAGCGCACTTTATCCCTATCCGAATTAATTATTCTCTGGACAAACTGGCTAAGTTGTACATTTCAGAGATTGTTAAACTTCATGGTGTACCGTTGTCTATCATATCTGATCGAGATCCGAGGTTCACTTCTAGGTTCTGGAAAGCTTTGCACGAGGCTCTGGGTACTCGTTTGAATTTCAGTACATCTTTTCATCCTCAGACTGATGGACAGTCTGAGAGAGTAATTTAGGTGTTAGAGGATATGTTACGGGGTTGTGTGATTGATTTCCATTGTAGTTGGGAAGATTTCTTGCCATTAGCTGAGTTTGCTTACAATAATAGTTACCAGGCAAGTATTCGTATGGCACCGTACGAGGCTCTGTATGGACGTAGATGTCGTACTCCTATATGTTGGACAGAGTTGCATGATAGAAAAACTTTGGGTCCAGACTTGGTCTGAGAGACTGAAGATACTGTCAGATTGATATGTGATCGCTTAAAAGAGGCATTCGATAGGCAGAAATCATACGTAGATAAGCGACGTAAGGATATCGAGTTTGAGGTTAGAGATCAGGTTTTTCTCAAGGCATCTCCATGGAAGAAGGTATTGAGATTTGGACGTAAGGGTAAACTGAGTCCGCGATTTATTGGACTGTATCGTATTTTGAAGAAAGTTGGACATGTTGCTTATCAGCTTGAGTTGCCTCCCCAGCTTAGTCGTATTTATGATGTTTTTCATGTGTCTATGTTGAGGCGATACCGTCCAGATCCAGATCACATCATTCAAGTTGTTGAGGTAGAGCTGAGACCTGATTTGTCATATGAGGAGGAGTCTGTTCATGTTTTAGAGAGGGATGAGCGAGTTCTCCGGAATAGGCGTATTCCAATGGTCAAAGTTCAGTGGAGTAATCGTGGTCCCTCAGAAGCTACTTGGGAGATATTGGAGTTAATAGAGGCTCAATTTCCTCATCTATTTGCATAAGGTAAATTTCGAGGACGAAATTTCTTGTAGAGGGGGAGAATTGTAACAACCCGGAAATATGAAAATAATAATAATAATAATTAATTAAATTGGGAGGAGTTAATTAAGTAAATTGGTGAAATTTGGGGACTAAATTGGAAGTTTTTAAAAACTTGTAGCTTGTTTTAGAGTTAAAGGAAATTCAGGGACCAAGCTCTGAATTTACCCTAAAATGATAGGTAAGTTTGGTGTTATATACGTGAATTGGTTTTTGAAAATCAGAAACCAATTCCTCCCAAATTCCCTCCCCCAACACCATCTTCCAACCACGATCCTGACGCCGTCTGAATTCCGATCGTTGTTTTGAAACCACCATCGTATTCATCATTGAGCGAGAAATAAACCTCTTAAATTAATTGAAGCGAAAAGCTGCCAAACGCCGGGAATTTCCAGTCAAAGTCTCAACATTTTTTTGCATAATCCCCGAGAAAATCTTAAATTCACCGCTGATCGTTGATCCGTTTACGACACCTCCCGCACCATCGTGTTCTTTGTACTGTTCCGAGTCTGCCGATGTCATCCTTGATCTCCGTTAACGGTGGCGCGTGGGGAGGAGAGACGGTCAAAGTTTCCGATTTGTTGAAATCGAGCTCTCCGCCGTTTAAAAATTTGAACCGATTTTTGTAAGTATCTCGAAATCGCTCAAAATAATTTTTAGAAATTTTTTCGTGAATTTTACGCTGCCGTAAGACGTCCCACGCGCCCCCACGCGTCGCCACTGCACGTGGGGAAGGTCAAAATGACCGGTTTGACCGGTTACAACCCGAACTGACCGACCCAACCCGTTGACCCGACCCGATCCGACCCGTTGACCGTTGACCGTTGACCGGGTGCTATTTTAGTAATTAATTCGAAATAGGTGCTATTTTAATAATTAATTCGAAATAGGTGCTATTTTAGTAATTAATTCGAAATAGGTGATATTTTAGTAATTAATTCAAAATGGGTGCTATTTTAGTAATTATTTTAAAAAAAGGTCCTATTTCTGTAAAATAGTTGACAGTTTGTTGACCTCCTTTGACCAAAACTTTGACAAGCTTTGACTAGCTATTAAACGACCGTTAATCTTTTTTGAATATACATATCCTGACAGTTTTTGACGTCCCAAATCTGTTTTTGGGGTCTGTTTCACCAAATTCAAACCCGAAAGTCTCTAAATTGTCAGTCAAACTCATTGACTTTGATTTTGACCAAGAATTCAAAATTTCGGAAGGTCATACTTTATGTTTTTCGACGTCCTGAATTTGATTCGAAGTCCGTTTTGCCAAATTCTGACCTGAAATCTCCGAATTGAGCATGTGAACCTAAATAGGCTTAGTATTTTAGTATTTTGATTATTTATTTGAGATATGACTAAGGAATTGATTAAGTAAAATATTTTATGAAGGTACTCGTGTTTCACCTGAGCGAGGATCAGTCAGGTTCGGTGTTGTCCGTTCATCAGATCAGTCCGAACCGCGTAATACAAGAATTACTCGTAGGTTTCCGTATATGATTTAAATAAAGATTAAGATTATTTATATTAGGATTCCAATATGGATTTTTCCGATTCGTAGGATCTAGCGCTGCAGCAGAGCGTGATCGACAAACCCAGTAATAGGCTTCTCTATCTGATTTCTCAGACTGTTACAGGTGTGTTTACTGACGATGTTATCTTACTGTTTTAAACTATCATATGAATGGTTTCAAATTTATGATGATGTTGAATATTATTACAACATGATACATGTTTTATGAATACTGGTTACCGACACCTGATTTACCGGATATTACTGATCTGATGTATGGTTTCTGTAATTTTTGCATATGATTTTTAAGCATGAACCATTTTCATGTTTTAATGGATTAATATTTATTTCACCTAAATACATACATGTTTATTTCTGTCACTAGGATATTATTGAGGGAAGTATTTCAGGCTCCTTTGTTGTGTGCTCAGGGTAAGTCCTTACTGGTGTGTAGGTAGGTGTATAGTTCTAGGGAACCTACACATTGTAGTGATTGGAGTGACTGGATGAGGAAGTTATTACTGCATGCTCCTTTGTTGTGTGCTCAGGGTAAGTCCTTACTGGTGTGCAGGTGGGTGTATGGTTCTGGGGAACCTACACATTGTAGTGATGGAAGTGACTGGATGGAGACGTTATTACTGCAGGCTCCTCGGCTTCGTGCTTAGGGTAAGTCCTTACTGGTGTGCAGGTGGGTGTATGTTTCGGGAAAATATATAAAAGACAGAAACCAAAGTGATTAAATGAAAATAATGTTCATATTTTAAAATATGTTTGATAACCGATTTTATTTGAATATTTTATTTGTATATTTTTATACACTGTTTGGAGCACACTGGGCTTTTTAGCTCATTCTATAGTTTTTTAACTTTTTCAGATAACAGCAGACCGTAAGCTAGCAAATTTGGCATCAGGGGAGATCAACTACTTATTTTGTACGAACATATATCTCTATATGTTTTTCAGTTTGTGTTTGGTGGCATGTATTTTCTATCGTTTTGAATATATTTGTATTATTTATATTTTGTTCTGTATTATATCTAATGTATTAAAAGCTGTTTAAAAAAAAACTCTGAATGGGATATGTGACCACTTAGATTTGGGTCTAACTTATAGACTGAGTCTGGAGGGTTACACCCAATATTAAGGTTTTTGTCGTTTCTTTTTTTTCTTTCTTTTTTTTCTTGAATTAGTTTATCAGTAATCCATGGGTGATATCAAAATAGGATTGGGGGAGTTAAATCTTGGCGAAGAGAAGGATGAGGTTCTTTCGATTGAGCAATCGGACGTGGCTCCTTTGATATCTTTTGACAATTGTTTGGTGGGAAGGTTTCTCACATAGGGTAACATCAAATTTTAGGCGATGATAACAATGCTAGCTAATGTGTGGCCTCCAATTGGGGGCATATCGATAATTGAAATGAATGATGGGCGGTACCTTTTCAGACTTTACCATGAAGTGGATTTCGACAGAATTTGGAATGGAAAGCCTTGGTATTTTAATTCTCACCTTCTTATCCTACACTACATCAATCCGGGTGAGGATCCAAAATGGGTAGTTTTCAACTCAGTGGCTTTTTGGGTCCTGGTGAATGAGCTGCCGGGGGTTTTGTCTCGGAATACGTTGCTAAACAACAATTTCATAGGCACATATATGGACTTCGATGCTACAGTAATTTTGCTCGGATATAGGGGTTGTCTTCGAGTTCGGGTTAGTCTTGATGTTTGGAAAGCGTTACAGCGTAAAAAACAAACAAACTCACTCTACCTACTGGAGAATTCTCTTACACCACTTTTCTGTATGAAAAACTGAAGTTGTATTGTTTCCTATGTGGTAAACTTGACCATTGTGAGGGGTTATGTCTTATGCAAGTTCTTCATGCAAAACAGGAGTTGGTTTTTCAAGGGAACACCTCTTAGAGCACCACCAAGACGAAGGAATTATACTCCTGACCCTTGGCTGAGAGATGAGGGCGGGGCAACAGGTTCAGATGAGCAGGGGAAGGGATTAGAGGGTTCGGGGAATCGTTGGAAGAGCTATTTGGGAGGGCCACTGGGGAATAATTCCAACCTAAATTTTGAACCTAATGATGTAACCATGACAGTAGTGGAGGAGGCTCCAATTATCAAGCATGATGGCGCTAAGAGACAGAGGAGTATTACATCAATCGGAGCTACAAATAGTGGAAGAATGGTGAATAATTCGACAACAAAAGTATCGACAGACCTGTAGGATCAAGCCAGTCGGTCACAATAAAACTCCTTAGTTGGAATGTCCGGGATTTGGGCAGCCCCGGGTGGTTCCCTGTCTTCGTCATATGATGAGAGAGAGAAACCCTGCTGTAGCTTTCTTGATAGAGACAAAACTACAGAAGTCTAAAATAGAAAATGTCTGGTTGATGTGTGGTTATTTGTTTGGTATCGAGGTTGATGCGGTCGGCACGAGAGGAAGGTTATGTTTAGCTTGACGCAATTCATGCATGGTGACATTGCACTCTTTTTCATGTTCACATATTGATGTTATTGTTGTCATAGTTTGGATGGTCAGATTTGGAGGTGTACGGGCTTTTATGGAGCCCTAGAAGAATCTATAAGAAACGAGTCTTGGAAGTTGGAACTTACTTTGCCGCTTAAATGATACCCCCAATATCCTGGCTTATTATAGGGGACTTTAATGAAATACTTTCCTCATTTGAAAAAGAGGGTGGACTGGTACGGAATGAAAGACATATGGAGGGCTTCCACCTAGCTTTGACCAATTGTGGATTATCTAATGCTGGTTATAAAGGTATTTGGTATATGTGAAAAGATGAATATGGCCTGCTAACAAATATCCAAAAGAGAATGGATAGGGGCTTGGTGAATTTTCATTAGACCACAAATTTTTTGACTTATAGTAATTCCCACGTACAATACTCTTTTTCATATCATTGTCCACTCCTACTGGACATAAGTACTATTAATCGCTTTTCACGTCGGAGGCACTTCAAATTTGAGGCTTCCTGGCTGTTGGAGGAGACTTGTGACTTAGAGGTTAAACGACTATAGGAGGCGACTAATGGCTCAGTGCCAAAAAAACTGAACTATGTTAGCCACCGCCTTAAAGGCTGGTTTAAGAGGACTTAAGCTTAAATTTTGGAGCCTTTTGATGAATTATTGAGCGAAATTTTGGACACAAAACTTCATTTAAACTTCAAAGTAGACAAGGAAGAATTGTATTGGAAATAAAGAGCTCGAGCGAACGGGTTAAAAATGAGGACAATAAGACTATTTTTTTTCATCACTATGCATCCCGGTGAGGATGAGGACAATAGGATTTTTCATTTAGAGAGAGGATGGATCTCATATTGAAGACGATTTGAGTATGGAAATAGTTGCCTGGTGCTATTTTGAAGATTTATTTTCATCTAATTATAAACCGATTGATTCAAGAATCTTGGAAGGTGTTACTCCTAAGATCACATAGGATATAAATGAAATACTCCTTAAAGACTTTACGAGGGAGGATGTGTTGGCTGCGGTTAAATCGATGAGTCCATTCAGAGCATCGAGATAGGACGATTTGGGGGTTTTGTTCTATCAAAGATTCTGGTTGATAGTGGGTAGAGATGTGGCCGATTATTACCTTGGATTACTTTAAGGACGATTTGATTTAATTACGATAAACCATGCGCAAAAAGTGTTTATCCCCAAAGTGGACTCCCTAAGTAAACTTATTCAATTTCAACCAATCAATATCTGTAATGTGCTCTATAAGATTGTTTCTAAGATGTTGGTTCTCCGCTTTCATGGTTTTGTAGACACTTGTATTAAAGAAGCACAAAGTGTTTTTGTGTCGGGGTGCTTTATTTCAGATAACATTATAATAGCCTACGAGCTTCTTCAATCTTTTATGTGGAAAAGGGAAGTAAAGGTTTTTTCGCTTTGAAGCTCGACATGAGCAAGACTTACAACTGTGTGGAATGGGAATTTATTTGGGCGATGATACTGCGTTTAGGGTTCACCCCATGATGGGTTGAGATGATCAAATGTTGAGTGAGTTTGGTCTCATATTCGGTAATTGTTAATGGTTTTATAGGACAAAGTTTTATCCCCCAAAGGGAGTTACACCAGGGCGATCCGCTGAGTCCTTACCTATTTTTAATCTATAGCGAGGATCTTTCTTCACTACTGCAATGAGTCGAAGAGATGGGTAGCTTACAGGGTGTCCAGATCAATGGTATGCTCCAAAAATTTCACATCTCTTCTTTTTTTTTTTTTTTTGTAAATGATAGCTCGATATTTGGTGAAGCAATAGCCTCGAAGGCATTGTGTTAAAGGACCTGCTTCGAGTATATGGGGAGAGTTCTGGTCAAGCAATTAATTTTGATAAATCCGAGCTGTTTTTCAGCTTGAATGTTATTGACTATAACCAAAGAGATGTTCGTCGCATTCTTGAAGTTGAGAAATCATCAAACCTGGAGAAGTACATGAGGCTCCCGACGATCGTGGGTAGAGAAAAAAGAGGCATTCCAGAACTTAAAGGATAAATTAAAAGCTAGTATCTGTAATTGGTGTATATGTTCGCTATCGTAGGGTGGTAAAGAGATCTTCATCAAGTTGGTTCTTCTAGTCATTCCCCTTTACGCTATGTCTTATTTTCTCCTCCATAAGAGTCTTTGTGTGGAGTTAGAAATATCATGGCAAGATTCTAGTGGCAAAAGTCAGAGAACAAACGTGGAATTCATTGGTGTAAGTGGGAGTCGTTGTGTGAATTGAAAGAATCGGGCGGACTCAAATTTTGGGATATGGCGAAGTTTAAAATATCCCTTTTGGTAAAACAAGGCTGGCGGCTAGTCTCTAAACCATCCTCTTTGGTAAGTCAGTTTTTACGGGCAA